ACTTGTGAGGCGGCTGCAGTTCAGGTTTCCAAGAGACCCCGAGTCCTTTGAGTGCCATTTGTCAGAGTGGTGTGGAGTGGAGACCCTCAGGTTGTCTGCAGACAGAGTCCGGCATCACACCGCTGCTTGTCAGTTTGTGAAAAGACATTCAAGGTCACCTTGGGGGCTCCCTTTTCCTTGCCTGTCAAGGGGAGAAGATAATGATCACTGCCCTCCAGAGAAAAATTTTCCAAATTAAAACAGGTTGATGTATACACAAAATCTTTGTCCACTGTCCCACTAACTCTGAAGGCAGGGATCTGTCCTATTCATTTATATGTTCCCAGTGCCAAACATGGTGCCAGACAAACTCAAATGTTTGTTGACTGAATGCGTGAATGAATGGTGCAGTAAACTCTATGGGGGATGGGGAACATGAATAAAGTAAAATTACTAAGAGTGTTCAATCATGAAAAAAACCTTGTGTCTACATATATCTTGGTATGTACCCACATTGAGGTAAAAATGAAATGTGCTAGCATTTTAAAATGAGCATTAACTAAAGGATATTATCGTGCATTTCCTTTCTTACCAACTCTCTGCAGCCCTTTTTCTGCATGCATTTCTGTTGGCATTGTGAAGTAGGTTAGGCCCTCCCTTTATATGGCCTATCCATTATTGATACATTATACAGGAAAGAATTCCATTACCCCTGGGAAACTGAAGCAGTCAATCGCATAGACTGGAAACAAATACCTTTCTTGTTTTGGGGTAGAAGGACCCTTCCACCTGAAATTACTTTGTTTCCAATGGCCCTGTTGCTGTGCCCCAGGAGGGAACTGACTTTGAAGTCAGATTATACTAGTTTTATTCCTGACTCCACTCCTTTCTGGGCGATTGCCTTTGGCTTGGCCATTTGACCTGTGTGGGTCTCGGTTTCTTTATCTGCGTAGTGCACTCTGTAGTGGCCATAAACAGACTTTGCAGACCTCCCTTTGGAGGGAGTACATGTGACCAAGAACCACAGTGGCTGCTGGGATGTCCATTGCTGGGCTTGCATGGCACGTGCATCTCCTATAGGCTGCTCCAGCCAGAGACTGAGCATGTGAGGATGTGAGGATGTCACACGGGTTGTTGCTAGGAGACACAGGACTCCTCAGATGGCTGACTTTAGCAACCTTGCTGAACCTTCCTGAGACTGCAGATGGACCAGGACACTTACTCATCCTTCCTCCTCTTTCTTTCACTGGGGGCGGACTGAGGGCTGTCCTAGCCTACTGACTCCCTCTTATTTCCTCTCATGCATGCATTTCCTCCAATAAAACCAGTGTACCTCTGATCCTTTCTTGGCATCTGCTCCTGGGAGGACCCAGATGCACACAGTGTGATGATGCCTCGTAGTGTGGTCCAAATGCGGTGATGTAAGCAAAATGTTGATCAGAGTGACAGCCACGGGCCTGTGCTCAGCGTGGGGTAGGGGTCCCATCACCTTCACTGCCATCACCACCATCACCCCTGGTCATCTGCCCACTTTTGCTTCCTTGTTGGCACCAGGCATGGAGACCCACAGAGGCTCAGCCCCGGTCACAGGCAATCTTGTATTAGTGTGAGAGCAACTCTGATTTCCAAGTGGGAGGAATGGACTAATTAGAACACCTTTTGGACATTTATCCAGCTTAAGGAAGAGGCACAATCCAAGTCCTTTTCTAGCTATCAGAATGTGCAGATATATTTGCTAAAGTAGCCAACTCCAGTTTTGGTCAAATACACAAGAGGTTTTATATCCCTGAGATTCCTGCCAGGACTCCTGAAATTAATAAATATGTCCCAGTCAGCAATCCAGGGCAGCTCAGTTGCTGTTCTGAGAACTTTGTGGAGGTTAAGAGAAGTGGCTCTTATTATTCACATTTCACAGATAAGCAGAGAAGTCAAATGACAGTTTCAAGGTTCCCCAGTCACTGATGGGTTTGGGACTGAACTCTGGTTTCTGCTCCAGTGCTTTGGAGACTCTAGGAGTTGTGGATTCTGTTCAAACCCTGCTCCCAGGGACAGTCTCTTAGCAAACTGGCATCAGGAACTGGCCCGAAAAGACCTTTCTCAAGCCCAATTCTGCACAGCCTCAAGGAGGCTGGGAGGTCTGGAGCCACGCATGACACAGGTTGGTGAAGGAGACTCTGCTCCAGCTGCCCTCTGTGCTCAGGCCCTTGGTGGATACTGGATGAGGTGCCCTGGAGTGGTGGGGTATGTTCCTTAAGCACCTGGTCACATCCCTGAGGCTGGAGGAAGCGTGCCCCACGCCCACAGTAGCATAGCCCTTATGTGTGTCAGTGTTGGGTAAATGCTTGTTGTGTAGGTGGTGGTGATTCTCACAGGCCATCTCTATGAGGCCTACGGGAATGATCAGCAACAACAGAAAATGCACAGTGCTCTATGCCAGAAATTGTGCCCAGAAGTGGAGCTCCAGGGATGACAGATGAGCTTTCGGACTCTGAGAAGTGCACAGAGCAGTGGGGAAGACAGGCAGGCTGAGTCTGCCTGGAAGAGGCTGGGGGACATTGTGGAAGAGGCAGCGGTGGCTCGAGACCGAGGATGTGGGAGGTTGGTAGGCAGACGAGGTTCCTGGCTGAGACAGCATCTGCAAAGGTGTCTTGCTGTGTCCGAGGGCCCGCTGTTTAGTATTGCTGGCATGTCAAGGTGATGCTTCACATCCACACTGTGTGCGTGCTTTGACTGGGCCGATTCCCCTCCCTCCTGCCCTTCCTTCACCCTCTGTGTGCCAAGCACTGTACAGGGCACTGGAGATCCAGAGGCGAGAGGGGACGTGGTGCCTACCCTCATGGGGAGATTTCATTTTCACGAGTGATCTAGCTGAGTGACCAGGCTGTGTTAGCAACATGGTGCAGTGAGAGCTGGGGAAGGGAGACCTAGTGGAGGGTGTGTTATTTCCTGCAACTACCGTGAAGAGTTCACTAATTTATAATCATATGGCTCTGGAAGTGACTAGTTCAAAGTCTGTCTCACTTGGCCAAAGTGTAAGTAAGGCTGGTTCCTTCTAGAGGCTCTAAGAGGACACTCTTTGCTGGGACTTTTCCACAATCCAGGGGGATCATGTCCCTCGCTTGGCTCATGGCCACATCCTTCCAAGCTCTGCTTCTGCCTTCACGTCTCCTTCTCTCCGCTTCTCTTTGGATTATACTGGGCCAGCTCACAAACCAGGATAATCTCTCCACTTCAAGATCTTTAATCATCAGTCATCCCCAGAATTCCTTTTGGTATGCACAGTAACATAGGTCCGGAGGATTAGGACGTGGATGGTTTCTGGAACCTATTCTGCCTACCACAGAGGAATGGCAGATTCTAATTTATAGATTATCAGTATGCTATTTCAGAGAATCTTGTTAAGTCTGAGGGAGATTTAGCATTGAATTACTTCCTTCGACAGAATAATATACAGTAAAAGGCTGATATGCCAGGGGTGGTAATGCACACTTATAAGCATCCCAGCTACCTTGGGGGCTGATGGAGGAGGATCACAATTTTGAGCCCAGCCCGGCCAATTTAGTGAGATCCTGTCCCAAAATACAGAGTTAGGGCTGTCACTCAGTGGTAGAACAGTCGCCCTGCATGTGTGAGGCCCCAGGTTCAGTCCCCACTACTGGGGGAAAATAAAGCGGATTTTTAAGGCCTAGGAGGAGAGGCAGGTGTTAACAGACCTTAGATTTTTCCAAGTGACCATCCCTACAACCAGATGTTGTCAGGATCGTTGATTGGGAGTAGTTCCTGCTCTTTGATTTGCCTTGACTTCTACAACACAGAAATTGAGCAGTTGAATCCCTGGTGGACTGGGATTGTTTGCTTCACTTAGGTAATTCTGTTTGTCATTTCCTGATACCTTATTTACACAAAGTCACACCAGAGGCCATAAAAAAATTAGAATAATGAAGGAAGAACAAAATTGAATTTCAAGGACTGCTCATTGCTGCCCAAGACAGATTTCTGTACTCCATGATAGCATGGCCTGTACCACTTGAACTTCCTGCCTTTGCAGAAAAGCTGCCAGCTTAACATATTTATTTCCAAGGTAATGAAACTGCCCTTAAAGAGAACAAGGGGCCTTAGAGAATTTTACGTGTTCTGAAAACCAGGGGAAAATTCATTTTCCTTGGCTTCTTAGTGGAAGACAATAGAAGAAAACTTCTATCACTAGCAGAACAGTAGCTGTTGCATCTAACAGCATTTTCTATTAGGAACTACGTTTCCCATCGATTTTATTCTTATTATTTTTATCACGAAGCCAAGCTAATTGACATAAAACACTCTCTTATTTCCTACCCTTATTATGGTTGCCTGTCTTTGTCTTCACTACTGACAGTTTTCAGAAACCCAAACCTTCTTTTTTTTTTGGTACCGAGGATTGAACTCGGGTCCTTTGGTTTGTGCAGCAGGCGGCGAAGCCACTGAGCTAAATCCCTGGCCCTCCAACCTTCTTTACTGTGTCTTGGGTTTTGACTTTTGCTGTTTACAGCAAGATCATTCTTCTTTCCTTTATTTTGTGGCAAGATAGGCTTTTAAAGTTGATAGATGTCCATCTGTTCTCTGTTTTTGTACTTGGATATAGGTAACTGGACATCCCTGGCCTATTTATTTTTCTCCAAGTTGAACAATATGCCTGTTTTTCAAGTATGGTGATTTGTTGTGTTTCTTCCACACTGTCTAAACCAGGAAACTAAGGGAGGGGATGATTTATGAATAACAGAGAGATAGCTTTTCAGTTTGGACCCTTGTAGAAAAATGTAAGCATTTCAAGCTCAATTAATACTTTTTTTTTCTTTAAAATTAGGATTCCTGGTGCTCATTTTTAAAAACTCAAAATGGGTACCTAGCAACTGATCAAATTCCCCAAGTGCTGGCTTGGTGAAACTGAAGGAAGATACCTCTGCTGTGCTTCTGATAAGTTTTGTGCTTTGTCTTTATAAACAAACTCTCTTTTCCCCTCTCCCCCTCCTCATTCCTCAGTGGCTGTTCCTGCGGCAGCCCCACCGGTGTGCCAGCCCAAGAGTGCCACTAACGGGCACCCTCAGGCTCCCCGCCTCTCCATTTCCTCCCGAGCCACAGTGGTAGCCAGAATGGAAGGTGCCTCCCAGGGGGGCCTGCAGACTGTCATGAAGTGGAAAACCGTGGTTGCCATCTTTGTGGTCGTGGTGGTCTACCTCGTGACGGGCGGCCTCGTCTTCCGGGCACTGGAGCAGCCCTTTGAGAGCAGCCAGAAGAACACCATCGCCCTGGAGAAGGCGGAATTCCTGCGGGACCATATCTGCGTGAGCCCCCAGGAACTGGAGACGTTGATCCAGGTGAGCAGGGAGTGAGTCAGCATAGAGCAACCTGTGGGGTGGGATGATAACACCGAGTCTGTCTTTGTGGGTCACCGAGTTTTGTCTTCCGTAAAGATGGTCCTGGCATTCAGAGAAGACCTCTCAGGGAAGATGACAAAGAGTGAGGCATGTGACAATGTGGGGGAAGAGGGACCATGGATGTAATGGCCCTGATGTAGGATCAGGCTGTGTTCCGCATCAGCTGGCTCTGGATCTGGTGGCCAGCAACAGCAGCAGGCAAAAGGGGCTTTGGATTTTCAAATTCAAGTCCTCTGGTACATGCTGATTAACTTCCTGATTCTAAACTCCCTGGTAAATGCTGAGATAAGATAGTGCCCTGTAAGCCAAAGACAGGAAGAACTTTAAACACGTAGGGATGTTTTAACCTTTCCATGCCGAGTGAGGATAAGGTCGAGAAAAGACTTCCGGGTACATGGATGACAACATTGATGTGGCTTTAAGGGAAATGGAATAATAAGGACCAGAGTCACAGTAAACATCACGTTTGCTGTTTCTGAATACTTTCTGTCCCAGGCATTATACTAATGCCATTACATCCCCTGGGTATTAGTGGAAAAAGATCCATGCAAACATACAGGCAGAGGAGCTGGGGTATAAGGTGAAGAAGCAAGGCAGAGCCAGCAGGGATGGGTGGGAGAAGTGTGGCAGGGGTGGACTGTGGCAGCGAAGGACTCTGGTCTCCCCAGGTGGTGTGATGGGAGAGTCTGGAACAGGAGGCTTGAGAAGTCTGGAAAGTCTAAAAGCGAAATAAGTCCCATGCGGAGGAGAGAGAAATGGCTGAGAACTCTTCGGAGGGCTCTGCGGTGGAGGGGACGGGGGTCGGCTGCCTCTGAGGTTGCAGTTGGATTTCCTCTGTTGGACGCCTTCCTGGACTATGAGGAATGGGAGGTGGTGGGAGGCGGTGACAGCCATGTAGCCAAGGGAGTTTCATCTTTTTGGAGGTTCCGAAGTGTGGAAGGCAGAGGGATGGAAAAGACAGCTCCTTCAGTTCCTTCTGGCTCTGGGATATGTGCATCGAATTCTGTTGGCTCTACTGCCGAGGATTGTGGAGGGTGACAGCCTGGGCCGGCTTATTATTTATTTCTATCAAGTTACACTGATGCTTCCCTCTGATGCTTCTTGTGATCTCACACCTTCACCATATCACACCTTTAGAATCAGTTATGACAGTCTTAAATAAATGGAAGTGAGAATTATATCCTCCCACAATGGGAATAAATATGACTTTGTAACTATGTCCTACATTTAATTATTTATTGAGAGATTTTGGAGACAGGGTCTCACCATGTAGTTCAGGCTGGCTTTGAATTCACTGTGTAGCACAGGCTGGCCTTGAACTTGTGGTGATCCTCCTGCTTCTGCCTCCTGGGGGCTAGGATTAGAGGCATGTGCCACCATGTCTGGATACAGTTTTTTATTTTGAAAAACCTTTTAAATGTTAAAATCTAAGGACAATATTTTTTTTTATCACATAGGAAGTCAATTCTTTGCATGGCCTTGTCCTTTTTTTCTCTTTTCTGGGAAAACTTTGTTACCTATGTATCTCTGTCATCTCTATCTCTGTCTCTCTCTATATGTGTGCCATATATATTATATATATTTTTGTATTTGTTTATTTTTTGAGACAGCCTTGTATGTAGTTCATATTGGCCTTGAACTCACTGTGTAGCCCAGGGTGAGAACTCACAGCGATCTTCCTGCATCAGCTTCCCAAGTGCTGGGATTATAGGCATGTGCCAACATGCCTGGCTGTATGCTGCCACATTTTCGAGGACAAGAATGTTATACTAGCCAGTGCCTAATTTTAAACCTTGTACCCATAGAGAATAGGAAAAACAATTGTAGAATAGTTTTAAGTTAGAATATAATTGCATTTGTACATGTTAGGATATATGATGGGAACCTTTTTTACTTAGTTGCAATACAAATAATAACCTCAAGGTGGTCTGAACTAAATTTTGTGTCTTCCTTGGATTTTCCTTCTTTAGATAGTGAGATCTTGAGGGAAGGGATCATGTCTTCTTAATCTTTGTACCCACTTGTAGCCTATGCAGTGGTTTGTATTTGGCTATTTCCCAATAGATAAATGCTTTTGGGGCAAGATATCAAAGTAAATGTATAACACTAGTGATTTCACAAGATGTCTGAGCTTATTCATGCATTCACTGATTAACGCAGTGTTTTTATTGCCTATTCTTTGACCTGCTCCTCTATGAAACTCAGAGGCCAGAATGGACAGTAAGGGGATGTGTGGAGGCCCTAATTCTGGTGTTACTGTTAGGCCTGCCCTCCCATTTTCCTGGCTTGTTCAGCTTATTTAAAATTTATTTTATTTGCTTATTTTTTAATGGGTACATAAAATTGCATATATTTATGGGAAATTATGTGGTATTTTGATACATGTATAAATTGTGTAATGTTTAAATCAGTATAAACATATCTCTTTCCTCAAACATTTGTCATTCTTTATGATAAAAACAGTAAAAGTTCTTTTTTCTAGCTTTTAAAAAATGTACAGAAAATCATTATTATCAATAGTCAGGCTTCTGTCCCACAGAGCACCAGACATTCTCTCTGCTGTCTAATTATGACTTAGTTCCCTTAATCTTCCTTCCTCATCCCACCCTTCTCTCTGCTGTCCTTATTCTCTGGTAACCACTTTCCTAGTCTCAATTTTCATGACTTTTGACTTTTTAAAATTCCACATATGCGTGAGATAGTCCTCCTTTTGCTTTAAAGTCTTCCATGTTATAAGTAAATCATAACATCATTATACTCTCAGATTTAAAATTTGTATTAACATATATTAATTGTACATATTAATGGGGTTCACTGTGATATTTCCATAGTGCATATCTTGTGTAGTGATCAAATCCAACCTCCCTTTTCCTGTTCTCCCTCTCATCCTTCCCAATTTCTAGTAATCAATATTTTACTTGAAGTTGACTATTTCTCAGCTTCTACATAAGAGAGAGAATGTGACAATATGCAGTAGTCTTTCTGTGTCTGGCTTATTTCACCTACAAAATGACCTCCTGTGTCAACCATTTTGCTACACAGGCTTTCATTCTTCTCTATGATTGGATAACATTCTATTGTGTATGTACGCCCCATTTCCTTTATGCATTCATCTGTTCATGGCCATTTAGGCTGACTCCATACCTTTACTGTTGTGAATAGTGCCAAAATAAATATGGACATGCAGCTATGCTTTGGTATGCTGATTTCATTTCCTTTGGATTTGTGCCCAGAAGTGGCATAGCTGGATTATATAGTAGATGTATTTTTAGGTTTTTGTGCAGCCTCTACATTGTTCTTTATAATGGCTGTACTAGTTTACATTCAACAGCATATAAGAGTTTTGTTTTTCCACATCTTTTCCAGAATGTATAATTATTATTTTTTGTTAATAGCCATTCTAACTGGAGTGAGATGGTATTTGACTGTAGTTTTGATTTACATTTCCCTGATGGCTAATGATATTGAGCATTTTTTCATCTATTTGTTGGCCATTTGTATTTCTTTTTTTGAGAAGTGTCTGTTCATGTCATTTGCCCATTTTTAAATTGGAGTACTTTTTTGTTGTTAATTATTTTTGAATTCCTTATATATATTAGTCTTCTATCATATGAACAATTGGGAAATATTTTCTCCCATTCTAGTTTGGATCTTCTCTCTATTGACTTGTTTTATTCTCTCTATTGATCTTCCCTTTATTGACTTGTGATGTAGTCCTATTTATTAATTTTTGCTTTTGTTTCCTGTACTTTTAGGGTCCTATCTAGAAAATCATTCCCTGTACAGTATCTTGATCTTTCTCCTGGTAGTTTCAGGTCATACATTTACATGTGATCCAGCTTGAGTTGGTTTTTGTACAGGGTGATAGAGGTCAAGTTTAAATTTTCTGAGTGTAGATATCCAGTTTCCCCAGAACTGTTTATTGAAGGGCTGTCTTTTTTCCTGTGTAAGTTTTTGGCACCTTTTCTGGTAGTCAGTTGGCTTTAGATGCCTGGGTTTGTTTCTGGAATCTCTATTCTGTTCCACTGGCCTGTGTGTCTGTTTTTATGAGAAATCTATGCTGTTTTGTTTACTGTGGCTCTGTGGTATATCTTTAAATCAGGTATTGTGGTACTTCCAGTTTCGTACTTTTTGCTCACCATTGCTTTGGCTACTTGGAGTTCTTTCTATTTACATTTTAGGATTGTTCTTTCTAGTTCTGTGAAGAATGTCATTGGTATATTGTTGGAGATTGCACTGAACTTTTGTCCCTTGTTTTAACCTCAAAGATTCTCTGAGAAATGAGGAATGTGTGTATGTGTATGCACACACATGTGTATACACTTGGGACAATTTTGTAGCAATAAAAGAATCTGTCTTTTATTAGGCATGTTATACTCATTATCTTATTTAATTTTTTCCAACAGTATCTTAAGTTGGTATTATTATTTTCATTTTATAGGTGAGAAAATGAATACTAAAAAAGAGTGAGTGACTTTCTAACCATGAAAATGGGAGAGCTGGTACTCAAGATAAGAGCTGTCTGACATGACACTGTTTTAGTCATTAAGCCTACAAGCACTTTATGTAGATCTTCCTCTATAAAAATATCAATTCTCTTTTAAACATTTGCTTTATGTTTAAGACTTTCCAGAATTTTAGCATTCAAAAATCATTGGTGTTCCTTGCTCCTTAACAGGAAGGAAGAAACTCCCTATTTCTCTCCATCTTTTTTAAAAAATTAAATTTATTGGTACATTTTAGGTATACAGTATAATGACATTCATCATTGGAAATTTGCACCTTTACATACTCTCTCTTGGTTCTTATTTTTTCCTCATTCCCCTGCCCTCCCTTCAACCCATTCATCCCTCCCTATTTACAAAGACTTTGTTTCCATTTTTTCATTTTCTCATCTTACTTCCATTCCCTTCTTTCCTTTTCCCTACCCTCCCACTTCC